GATAACCATTGATAATTTCCTACCATTTTGTCTGTAATTTGCTAAGTCCCCCCTATTATTATGTTATCCTTCTTTTATTCTTTAAAATAAAAAATAAAAATAAAAAAATAAAATAAAATGCAAGCTATGTAAAATCCCAACTAAGACCCAAAATTGTCTAATGTATTCATTCACTAGCTAACAAAAAGCCCAAAAGGACAAGACACCCAGTATAACAAAGTACTGCACAACAGTTTTGCAAAGTTATCTCCACTAGAATTTCCAGTACAGTGTTGAATACGTGGTGGAAACACACATCCTTATCTTGTTTCTGATCTAACAGGGAAAGCATTTGGCTTTCCCTATTAAATATAATGTTAATTGTGGGGTTTTTGTAGATGCTCCTTGTTAGGTTAAGGGATTACCCTTTTGTTCTCAGTTTGTTTCCTTGCACGTTTCTTGAGTGGGGAGGGACTGTGTCTGTTGAGAGAATGTGTTTTTTTTGTTTTTCATTCTGCTGGTAATGGGATACTACATTGATTTTTGGATGTGAGAATCTTGCATTCCTGAAAATGGTGTATAATTGTTTTTATATGCGTTGTATTTGATTTGCTATTATCTTATAGAGGATTTTAGCATGATGTTTATAAGGGATATTGGTCTATAGATTTCTTGTAATGTCTTTGATCTTGGTATCAGGGTAATAATGGCTGTCTAAAATGATTTGGAAAGTACTGTATCCCCTCTTGTTTCTTGTCTTTCACCTTGACCTCACCCAACTGTTAAATTCCTTTAGTTGCTGGCTAATTGTTCTATTGTTTTAAACATTTTCCTGAGGTACAAATTACTTCACAGACCGCACTGCGCAATCAAATTTAGGATCCTTAGAAGGGAGTTTTTTAGGGTAGTACTTTAGGTTGCTTCTGACCTCAGGCAGGCTATTTCTGAGATTTCCTGATTCCCCTGGATAAACTAGCTTTGTAGTTTAGATTTATGTGTTATATTAGTCTACCATTCTCTTCCCAGGTACTTTTCATTATAACCTCCACTGTTTTTGAGAGCATTCTTGGGCAGGAATTTTTCCACTCTACTGTAAATAAAGGTAATTTGTTTAACAGGAGATGAGGATATGTCTTTCTGGCTGCCCTTCCCTGTAGGTAAAATCTCTGCAGAGGACTCTGGAGTTGAAAGTAAGGGTAGTGGGACGTTTCTCTGAGTATTGCAGGCTTTACGAAGCTGAATGCTTGGTAGGGGGAGCAGCGGCTGTAGTCTCAGGTCTCCTTAGCTTGCGCTTCAATGGCACTGCTCCCAAGGTCGAGTTTCCCTCTGGAACGGGGATTGGGAAAGAGGAGAAAGCATCTGCTTGTTAGCTGTATTCAGGAAGATTTTAGACATCACCAGGGGCAGCTGGGGGCAGGATAGTCCTCCAGTTGGAAACTGGGGAGACAGCCAGGTTCTCCTGGTTGTGTCAGTCCAGCATGAAGTTGCCATTTAGATGAATTGGTAGAAGGACGAGGGACTGGATCTTAGTTTAAATATCATAGACTCTGTGCTAACTAAATTTTAGCATATTTTCTTCAATGTGTGTTCCTTCCTTTGCTTTACCTCCATAAAAACATTTCCAGACTTTAAATGATTCATGGTTTAATTTTTTCATCAGTTTCACAGGTGAGCAGGACTGTGGAGTGCTTCATTGTGCCATGCATATATTTTTAGGTTGAATTGATCCTAACTGTGTTTTCTTTATAGGGACATATGGAAGGAGAGGTGTGGGGTTTGGCTACACATCCTTATCTACCCATTTGTGCTACTGTAAGTGATGATAAAACCTTACGGATATGGGATCTCTCACCTAGTCATTGTATGTTGGCTGTCCGGAAACTAAAAAAGGGTAAGAGGCTCTCAGATTTGAGCACAGATTATCACAATTTTCTAACCTTCATACATGTAGGAAACCAATAGTAGACACATAAAAGACTTTAAGTATTTTGAAATGTTTACTTAATATCTACTTATTCATGATGCTACATAAGGAAAATTAATTATAAACAATCCTTCTGGGACCTCCCATGATCATGCCTTGACTGAGCCAATTTTCAATGAGACCTTGGAAGAAAGACTATATATAGGAAGTAAAGAGAAACTAAGCTTTTCTCCCTTTGTGAATGAGCTATACATAATTCAGGGCTGGAAACTAAGAAAGATGGCTTTAACTTTAAAAGAGGTAGCAACAGTGGGGAAAGGCTATTTTAGGATGAAACAGAATTGGGTGCACGTGTAAGAGGCAGATGAAACTATTAGTGAAGCAAAGTTACTGTTAACCTAGGGTCGATGAGGCTGTCCAGACAGCTTTGAATTTCTCAGTAAAGTAGGAATGTTACAAAATTAGGGAGTCTAACAGGAGGAATTCCAACGGGGCATGCCGAGAACACTTGCTGTAAGAAATGTGATATAGTCAACAGACAAGGAAAGGGTTGTCTAGCAGAGTAAAGGCCAACTTGAAATTAAGGAACATGAATGTATAATTCATTCAGTTAATTTAATTTTACTTATTTCTATTGACTTAAAACATAGAATTATTCTCTTTTAGGATTACTGTTCAGTGTTTAACATGTACACTTAAAAATTTTTGAAGTTAATCATAATCCATAGAATACTTGAACACTTGAATTCTGGTCACTGCCTTCCCTGTTTTTAGTTATTGATGCCCAGCATTTTTATTTTCTGTTTTTCCCCCTCCTATAGCCCCCTTCAGTTGGCATTATTATTATTATTGCTTTATGCAGTTAGTATTTGTTCAGGTTTGTCTCCACTTACACATTTCTTTGTTCAGCATTTCTTCTTGCATCTGAGACTCTTTTTCTGGTATCATTTTTCTTTCCTAAAATATAGCCTTAGAGTTTTCCAGATAAAAATTTGTTGAAAATTCCTTCAGCTCCGTTCTCATGGAGACCCTTCTCACTCCTTCCCCCACCTTTCCTCCAACCACCCTCATCCCTAAAAGAACTTCCCCTTTTTACTTCTATTAGGACATGTTTCTAGTACCTAATAATTACATTCATTATAGGGAATTGGTACATGTACATCACACATTTCAATTCCTTTCTTTTTACCCCTTCCATCTACCCACCCCCTTTATTTTTCCAGCATTAGATTCATTTATTTATTTTGTAAAACCTTATAAAATTAATTATCATGTACAGAGATTGAAAACCAGACTAATAGGCCAAAAAACATACAAAACATGTTAAGACAATTGTACTAAGTCAAGGTACACTTTTAGATACATTGTCTGCACTGGATTATATAGCTTTTTGTTTTCCTTTTCTTTCTTCCTGTTATCTGTCTTTTATTTAATATGTATTGAGCTTTTCGTAAAAGAGAAACCATGTGATATTTAAGCTTGTGTATCTGATTTCATTTAACCTTATGTTCTCATAGTGCATCCATTTTCCTACAAATGAATCAAGCTTATCTTTCTTTATGGTAGAGTAGTATTCTGTTGTATATAAGTACCATACTTTTTATCCATTCATCTGTTGATGGACACATGGGCTGTTTCCAAAATTTAGGTATTATGAATTGCGCTGCTATAAATATGGGTATGCGTACATTACTGTGATATGATGTCTTTAATTTTTTTGGGAATATACCTAGAAGGGGAATAGCTGAGTCAAATGGAATTTCTATTTTTAGTTTTTTGAGGAATATCCATAGTGGTTTCCATAGTGGTTGTATCAGTTTATAGTCCTACCAACAATGGAGAAGGGTTCTTCCCATAGCTTTAATTACTGGTTGACTTTTTGATGCTAGCCATTCTTTATGGAGTGAGATGGAATCTCAGTGTTATTTTAATTTACATTTCTTGAATGGCCAGTGATATTGAACATTTTTTTCATGTATTCTTGGCTGTTTGTACTTCCTCATCTGAGAAATATCTATTCATTTCAGATGCCCATTTTTTAATTGGGGGATCTATTTGTTTTTTAATTCTTTTTATATTCTAGTTATTAATCCTTTGCCTGAGGAGTAGCTATAAATTTTTCCCATTCTGTAGGTTATCTCTTCACTCTGTTAGTGTTTCTTTTGCTGTGCGGAAACTTTTTAATTTAATGTGACCCCATTTGTTGATTGTTGATATTGTTTCTTAGGCAACTAGGGTATCCAATTACTTTTCTCTCATTGAGACAAAGTACCCAGTTCCCAAAATTAAGGGAGGAAGGTTTATTTAGCTCACAGGCTGTGGAGGTTTCAGTCTATAATCAGCTGGCTCCAAGGCAGGGTGGCTCATGGCAGAGGGCAACAGTTCAAGGTGGCAGAAGATACCAAAAGCAACAAGAGTAAAAGAGAGGAGCAAGCCTCTTTTCCTCCCCTATATTGTGTGCAGGCTATCTGCCCTAGGATGGGTATAGCACTCACAACCCCAGTCCTAGCGCTGAGACAATAAACCAGTCACAAACTCTAGATTCAGCTGCCTCTGAAAAGCACCACCCATGATCACATGAGGCTTTTTGGGGGACATCCAGAAACAAACTATAACATTGATTTTGTTCAGAAAGTCTTTCTCTACCCCTATGTCTTCAAGAGTTTTACCTATTTTGACTTCCAGCAGATTGCTTCTGTTTTAGTCTTTAGATCTTTGATACATTTTGATTTTAGTTTAGTGCACAATGAGAGATATGAGTCTAAGTTCAACCTTTTTATGGATAGCCAGTTTTCCCAGCACCATTTGTTAGAGAGGCTATCTTTCCTCCACCAAAGGTATTTGGCCTCTCTGCCAAAAATACCATAGCTGAGTATGCCTGGAGTTGTTTCTGTATCTTCTGTTCCATTTATTAAAAAACACAAGTGTGTGGTTTTTTTGCCAATACCATGCAATTTTTATCACTGTAACTTTGTAGTATACTTGAAGTCTGGGATTGTAATGCCCTCTACCTTGTCCTTGTTGCCCAGAATTGCTTTTACTATTCTGAGTCTCTTCTGTAGAACCCCTCCACCCTATTGAGACATGTTCTTGCTATGTTGCCCAAGTTCACCTCAATCTCCTTGGCTTAAGCAATCTTCATGCCACCAAGCCCAGTTTTTCTGACTTTCTCATCATCATATAATACTCTTCTCTTGTTAGATAGCCTCAAGGACATCTTTTAAATAACTTTTTTTCAGTAGAGACTGTGCCCTTATTATGATAAGCTATATTTATTTAAAAGAAAGCATTTCTAGTTTTTATTATGTTTAGATTTATGATTTATAGAAGGAATTTACTATTATGTTTGTTATGAATTGAATTGTGTCACTATATAAGATATGTTGAAGTACTAGTCTTCAATCTTTGGGAATGTACACTTATTTAGAAGTAGGGTTTTCACAGATCTAACCAATTTATGAATAAGTCACACTAGATTAGGATGGGCTGTAAATACAGTGACTGGTATTTTTTTTCAGTTAGCTTAATATTACTATTTTATTTGAATATCGTGCAACTTGGAACATAAAATAGAATGATTATTTTCTAGCAACCGTGGATGGTTTAATAGTTGAATCTGTAGAGAATGCTAACAGGCAACAGTTATGTAATTTTACACAGAAAATTTTAAATCAAAACCGTACATAATATGGTAGCATGACAGTCATGATGACATTTTTGTGACATACTTAAATGTCCATTTTGACATAGTATAGCTCTTTTAATCAGTCATCCCTATGTAATACATAAGAAGCTTTTTACCTAACTCACTGATCTTTAATGAGATGTCACTGAAAAAATTTGTGACATTGTCTGGACTGCTTAATGTCCAGGCATCTCTAAGTATGGTAGCGCATATATAGTATATACATCGCATAGAATTTTGTTATTATTACTGACTGGTGACCTGATGTTGGCCTGACATAAACCTCCTATCACAAGTGGAGCACAAAAGAAAGGCAAATGGCTGAATCTGAAAGATAAGGTCTATCACCATGAACAATCCCAGTTTTACATTTTAGAGGATGGTACACCAGAAAGGCATGAATACATTTAATACAGCATGAGATTAATAATGAATTGTCATACATGTGGGAAAAATCTTTGTTTCTTAACTTAGTTATGTACCAAGAGCATCTTTTGTGAGTAACCTTATTGTATTATTTCTGGAGAACTTAACCTTTTGCTGATGACCAGTTTACTGGGAGTATCTACCAAAAGGCTATGGAGACTTTTGGGGCTTCCCGTTAGTGACTGGTATTTCTATGTGGAGGCCATGTGAAGACACAGGGAGACGCATACACTGGAGGAACACAACATACTAATGAAGACAGAAATTGGAGTGATGTGTTTAAAAACCTGGCAGTTGCTGAAAACCACCTGGAGCTAGAGAGAGAAAGGCTTCTCCCCTAAAACTTCCATGAGGAACATAGCCCTGTCAATATCTTGCTTTTAGACCTTTCATCTTTAAAATTGTAAGAGAACAGATTTTTATAGCATCAACCACCCAATAACCACCCAATTTGTGGTAATTGGTTACAGTACCCCTAGGAAACCAGTAGAGTGTTTATATAACATCTATTCAAAAAGTCTTTGAACTAAAGGAAGAATTATTTTGACAGTATAAGCTGTCATCTCCATCAAACTTGAGAAGTAAATAAAGACTGTGTAACCCATGTTAAAAATTCAGTGCAGTAAATATGACTCTAGATACTTATGATTCAGAGATCAGATTTTTTAACTTGGAAGGTATGTAATTATATCATTGCTATTTGTATTGTGGAGTTTAAGTTAACATAAGTTGGAAAACTAGTACTATAATGAGTACAGTGAATATGTATCCCCTCAGGATTTCTAGTGTGATCTAAGCAGCCAGATTCAGGGTATATATTCTCTGCCCTCGGGGAAAATGTGGCTTTATTTTTCCA